TTCCTATTAAATACCTGCTTTGAGCTGATGGGTTTGTCCTTAGGGCCTGGGCTCCTCCCAGAACATTCTGGGATCATCAAACCTTAAAAAAATTGTAAGAGTAACAAAAACCGTAGATAGCAAAAGACTCGTAGCGTACTGAAAAGGCTGTAGGAACGGGCGAGAGGTTGCGGGGAGGGGAGGCTGGGATCAGTCTTACGATGGGATATAGAATAATCGGTTTTCTTTTCGACAAGGCAATCAGCAGTTAGACGCCATTCATGTAACACAGCTGGAAAGAGACACTGTCCTCGTCTGCCTGGACAGTAAGTAGCACGTCCCCGTTGGGACCTTACTACACCTTGTGCAAAACTCCCTTTGTCCCAGTTGTTGATTTTTTAACTCTGCCCCGAGTTAAATTTTCTCCCTTCGTTACGAATTTGTGTTGTAACAGTTCCAGAAGGGCACGGTTCAGCTACGTGGGTTTTTTCGTTTCGACTCTCGTGATTCCACTTTCCCTCTTCACGTCTGTGTCTTTCCTGTTTCTTTTCAAAACGAAATGTAACGCAGCGTTACAGGTCAGCCCTCAAATGTATGCCCAGCAGAAATTTTCACCATTTACTTGGAAAAAAGTGACGTTTGCCTGTCGCACATGCTAGCAGAACAAAGAGCTAACGCCCCGTCACACGTAGTCACTGTCACCGTAACTCTCACGCGTCAGAGGTTACTACTTCGGTGGCAACTTTGCAATAACTTCCCTAAATTCCCTAATCTCCTAACCTTTATGTCTAAATTTCCAGCCTTTATGTTGAATTCATGTTTCTGCACGTTTGCAGGAAGACTTGTCAGGAGAGTCTAAACCCATACAAAGTGTCCAGGAAGGTTTTCTATATTTATTTTGAGAGAAAGATGCTCCTGGATTCATTTTGGGCAAATACCGTAGAGGTTAGGTTTGGGCATTTCTTTGTGCCTGAAAGATGAAATTAGTATTTCATACTAATCCTTTTCAGCAGTGGGTTTTAATACTTGTTTTTCTGTTCTTCTTGAGAATTTGTGAAAATTGTGAATTTACAAGGGAAACTGAAGTCAAGCAAGAAATTGGCCTCCGAGCTGAGCTTTGATTTCTGCATTGAGTCAGTGGGTAAGTGATTTGTTGCCCTATTGTTTCTCAAGGACTTCAGAAGTCAGAGGGATGAGTGTTGAAGGGTTTTTAGTAATCTAGACTGGTCTAGAGCACCCAGTGGGGCCTGACACTGACAATTGCGTGCGTCAGGATGTTGTGAGCTGTCTCTTTGTCTCCACTGACACGCTGAAGAAAGCGAGGCCGCTGCCAGACGGCGTGTCCGGCCGGCGCGCGTGTTTCCATCTGGTGTCAGTTCTGGTTTACGAGATGCGCCGTGATTTGGTTGGAAAAAAGGCTGAGGAGTTTGTGGTCCTTTCCATAGCACTGAGAAAAACCTTTGGGGAGGAAAAAATGGTTTGGTAATACATAAATTTGTGTTAGTCTTCCGAAAGCTGAGATTTTATTTAAAGCGGTAGCACATCCGTTTTTTAACAGTCAGGGAAACAGTAATTGAATCTAATTCTTAGAGGACAGGCTGGTGCCTTTAGACTCCTAGAGGACAGCAGCCTTGCTCCTAAAACTTGAAGGGTGATTGCCAAGCAAGTATTTCTGCTGTAATAAGCTCTCAGAAGTCTCTAATTAACATAAGTTGAATAATTCTGCATCTTAGAAACCGAATTTCTTTCTGGAATCAAAATCAGTAAAAGCACAACCCGCTTCTGTTAGCGGTTCTGTACAACTTGCATTTCTGGGTTCTTCAGGCGTCTTCCCTTTAGAAGAAGATCCTTGGCATAGGTGTGTTGTATTTTAACAGCCGTTGGTAAAGCAACGCACGTTCTTCTATGCAGCAGCTCTATTTAGGTATGTCAGACCCCTCCTGAAGGAAGGTATTTTTAATCAAGCCTGTGGTTCTTCCCTAAATTCTGGCATTTCTGATTAACTGCTGTACCTGTATCATACAGTATCTCCTGCTGACGCAGGCATAACCTGACTTAACCTTTTCCTTCAACTCTGAAGGAGTTCATAGGCAGAAGCATTTATCCCAGAGTCTTGCACTCACCAGCTAACAGGGAATAATGTGAGCAGTTCTTGACCCTCCGTGTGGTCTCTTGGGAATTCAGGGTACTAAACAGCTCCATTCTCCGATTGCAGGGTGGAGCGGGGAGCAGCAGGTGAAGATTAGCCTAAGGCTGTGGTGACAGACGTTGCCCTTAGGATTCTGCCTTCATTCTGTGTGTTTAGGACATGGCTAACGCTGAGCAGATACAAGATGTGACTCAAAGGAGTAGTGAAGGAAAACAAGTGGGATTTGGGGAAAATAAAACACAGCGTAAAATATGTTTCTGGAACACTGCTTAAAGAACACCAGGCTCTTCACCCGTTATTTTCAGCAGCCTGGTAATTAAATCACTCGGAGCTGGTAGCCTTCTGTGTTCTGTCTTGGGCCCTGGATGGAAGACTCCTCCCATTTTCATACTCACGTCTGTTTTGAAGTAAATATAATAACTCAAGTGATCTGTAATTTCCAGCAACCCACAGTGTTGTGCTTGGCAGCATGTTTATACACTTCCTGGTGTTTTCTCCAGAATCATTTAAGAAAACAAAGATCCAGAGAATAGAAGTGAAAGGGAGAAAAGGGAAAACCAGAGATGCCTGTCTTGTCCTGGCAAACAGGGGATGTCTGAGTGGTCTGAGTTGCAATTTAAGAAGTAATGTACGTCTCGGGTCCAAGTAGTCATTTCAGCTTTTCTGCAGTGATTTTGGAGTTTGGTTCTTCCACCAGGAGTCCAGGACTCACCACGTACTTTCTCCACACGCTTCCCATTCTCACTGCTGGTGAGAACCCCGGGTTTCTCTGGCTCAGATAAGCCGTGCTGGGGTCTGATTTTGTGTTTCTCCTTTGCAGTGTGCCTTCAAGACAGTGTGCTGGCCTTCTGGAAGCATGGCATGCAGGGCAAAAGCTTCAAGTCAGATGAAGTACGTAATCTCCCAGTCTCTCCAGGTTTAATTTCTTCCTGTTCCTTATTTACCACTTGATCCTTTGGCCCCTCTAAGTGCTTCCCTAGCGATAACGCTCGCGCTCCGTGTTGTCATTGCTTCAGCTCGCTGGTTGCTTTCTCGGACTTGCCTCGTATATTGCTTTTGGTAAAGCTCCCACACGTGCCTCAGCCAGCTCTGTCTCAGAGAGGGTCAGTCAGAGGCTCCTGAACTGGTTGTGGACAGAGCCAGTACAGATCTGGTGTAAGCAGCATTGGGTTTCTTGGGTTAAAAGCTCAAGTGGGCAGCATCCCTTAAAAAAAAACCCACACTCTACTTCTCTACTTTTATTTTTTTTGTCTTTAAATGTTCTTTTAAAAAAATGTCCTTTTTTTTTCAAAAAGAAAACTCCTTTTTGACGGCATTCTCTGTGAAAATGCAGGGAAAGCCAGGCAGTCTCCGCCGACAAAGGTTTGATGAACACACTCCATCTGGGCCACCCAGTCTGCAGTACAACAACTATTGAAAATAAGTTGTATTAAATGAATTTTAAAACTCTTTTTTTTTTGCTTAGCATCAATTTATCTGATTCAGTCCAGCAATTTGCACTAAATTGTATTTAAAGTTTTGAAGAGACGGAGCTTTTTTTTTTTCATCCCCTTCCAACTCAGACCAATAAATTTCATTGTGCCGCTGAAATGGACCCAAATGTCTCCATTTTTCTGCAGGTTACCCAAGAGATATCAGATGAAACCCGAGTTTTCCGCTTACTGGGCTCAGACAGGTAATCACCTTGAAGAAACATAAAGCTGTTATTTTATTTGAACCCGCTTTCTCGCTTCCAGCTGGAAGTGGCTTCCAGCCCACCGCAGGTTTATCTGTAGGCACTCCTGGGGGAGGCAGTTACACCGGTTCTGCCCGCAACAGCCAGAAATTTAATTAGTGATTGCATCCAAAATTATTACTAAGAGCCCCCGTGACCTCCCCAGCTTTCCACTGCGGAGATAAACGTGGTGAACACAAACCCACGCGTACAGAGACACTGCGAGGAGCTGAGCGACGGGGAGAGGTGAGCGCCGCCTTTGGGCACCCTGGGCGCTCCTGGCAAAGCCTGCTTCTGGCTTGAAAATGCTGAATTATCTTGGCGGGTAGTTACTTAAAAATAACCTTTGCTGCTCTGGACCTTGAGGTCTGGAAATAGCGGCGCAAACCAGATCGCATCCGGGTTTGAACGCCCAGCGCTCTGAATTCACCCGTTACCCCTAACGTCCGGGTGATTCCTTCTGGCTGCAGAGGTGCAGCTGCCTCCAGGTTTGAAATTTTGGCAGAAGCTGCCTCAGCCTCCGGGTTGGGACATGTGTGCTTGAGGTTTCTCAGCCAGCCAGAGCGCGAAGGGAAGAGGTAGATAGTAGCAAGTCAAGAAATCGGTTCTAATCCCTGATCTGCTGCTCCCTCATTTGGCCTTTGGGAAGCCGAAGCCTGGCTCTGACCGGCTCTCCAGAAGTAATCCGTGATTTTGTGTTCTTACATTCTGGGATCCCCAGTCCAGAAAGGGAGCGAGAGCGCTCGCTAGCTCTTTTCCAGAGGAGGGGCAGCCTAAACAAGAGACAGCTGAAGCCTTTGCTTTGCACCTGGGTCCCCAAGGACCCGCGGTGCTTGGCCACTGCCCTGGGAATTGAGGATCCTCGGCACTGCTGGCTCGGAGATCTCAAAAATGATCTGACAGTTCATACTCTGCCTTGTCTGTCTGTTATCCCCCTTGTGCAGACAGGCAGTGGTAACTTCCTTCCCCGTTACTCCCAGCAGAGCAGGGGGCGTTTTCTTGCAGGAATGAGCTTTTCCGAAGGTCCAGTGCCGTACAGATGTCGCGTGTGTTAGCCCAGGTATGCGCTGTGCCACCGCCAGTGAATCTTTCCTGCGTGCTGGAATTGGTGCCTTTAAATGGCCCGATTTTAAAATAGCTCCGTGTTGGGGCGCGGGCACATCCTAAACACACGGAGGAACGGGAAGGAGTGTCTCATCTGGTTCAGCTTGCGCTTTTGTGGAAGACATGCACAGCTGAATAACCCCTTGGTACAAAGCACTTTTTGGGGGTTGAAGCCCAGCTGCTGCATGTGGTTTTGCAGAGAAGCTGTTTGCCTCCATTCCATCTGATCTCGCTGAACTGCCAAACTTTTTGTTTGGTGTTTTTCCACCTCTGCACAAACGGAGCAGGAGACTTTGCTGCCATTCAGGTGAGCGGGACGTGGCAACACCTTTCTGGCTCGGATCGCTGTAGAACTGCTGAGTTGCAGAAGTGAAGATCAGGGCCAGAGGCTGTTGAGAGTGAGACTTCACTTGAAAACTCTTTGAGGAATGTGAAATGGGAGGGGAGTGTGTGCCATGCTAACCCTGAGACGGGCTCCCTTTAGAAACCCAGCCCTGAGTTCAAGTGGCGCATTTGGTTTCGTTGATGTACACAGGTAGAAAACAAAAAGCAGAAAGAAGTTTAATCTAAAAAATGACAGGATGTTGTCCTAGAAGCTGCTGCAGAGAAAGGCAGGAGCTAAGCAGTTGGGAGAAGGGAGGTTGGAGGCCCCACCGTATCAGCTGCTGAGATGATTGTCAAGGTTCACCGTGGGACCGATGTGTAGAAGACAGCGGTCAGCGTGCCAGGACAGGGAGACAGGTTTTCCAGAGGAGCCTACAGGCACCTCCTCCAGCAGGACAGCGTCTGGGATGGGTGCTGCCTCTGAACCCATCGGCTGATAAACACTTAGAAGGGAGGAATCGTAGAATTGTGGACTGGGTTGGGTTGGGAGAGACCTTAAAGACCCCCTAGCTCCAACCCCCCCGCCGTGGGCGTGAGCGAACTGTTGAGGTCAGTGGCTGATGCTTCTGGGGAGATGTAGGAGGTGCAAACACGCTCGGGCTGCGGACGGTGGGGGGGCGGCGTCTCCTCACAGCGCTCCGGCTCTGCGAGAACTTCCCAGTGGAAGCAGAGGACGTGGCTTATTTCAAGGTGGAGGATGTCGGTTCGGAAGGGGCTTATAACACACTGTATGTCCCTGTGGTTGAGGGGGACAGATTCTCCTTCAGGGAACTGCTCCTAGTCCTCTGTTCCATGTACGTTCCGCTTTACTGGTTTTATCAGCCGTGGTGCTGGGAAATGAGGTCACTGATTTAAGGAAGGAAATACCCAGGATTCGTAGGAGAACCTGTATCCCTCCAGGGTGTAGAAACCTGCGAGCAACGAGTTTGTTCCTCCCCTGTAGTTAACACCGTGTGCCTCGTGGTTTTGCCACTAACCATTTTGGATTCTGTTGTGTGTTTGATTGCAGAGTGGTAGTGTTAGAAAGCAGGCCGACCGAAAATCCGACTGCCCACAGCAATCTCTACATCTTGGCCGGACATGAAAATAGTTACTAAGCAACAGTAACCTAACGCCAGTCACAGAGTGGATTTGCCACACGAGGAATAAAGAAGCATTAGGAAACTCAGTGCAAGCGGGACTGTGACTTACTGGTTCTTTTCTTGACACCTAAATGATGCTGTTTTAGGGTGGAAATCAGTACATTTTTGCAGCTGGGAACAGCTGGTTCTGTCTCTTGCCACTGTGTGGTTGGTTATATCGAGTTTGCTTAATAAAAGCTATGAGATAAAGAGCCCTTTACTCGTTAGTCGTAGGGAAACAGAGCCTTTAAAAAACCGTCGTGCAGTAAAGGTGCCATAAACTGTTAAATATTTTACTTCCCCTGGATTTTCCTTGTATTCTGTAGATATCGACGGAGTGCTGGCTGTTTCCCTGTTTTATACCGAGTTGTTCTTACGGAAAAAGATTTGTGTAGGAAGTGGGAGTATCTGCAAAGCTTTTTGGTTTTAAATCCGCCATTCGGTATGGCTTTGTATAATAGACTATTTAATCCTTATTTATTAATCTGCTGCTAGAATGGTGTAATGTGTCTAACTTTTAGCAAAGGAAGGTTGCAGAGCAGCTTACAATTTTTTTTTTTTCTACAATTGTATAAAGATTTGATTATTCTTTTTTTCTTGTAGGGATGTAGTGCATTATTGAGGGGTATGTTACCATGTTGATTGATCTTGTAAAAAAAAAAAATGCGGTTTTGTACAACAAAGTATTTTGTATTGATTTTCTGCCTGCAGAATTGCCATAAAAGGGATTTTCTTATTTACTAGATGTAGGGTGCGTGTACACAAAATACGATATTGATATCAGACATGTTGCTACTGGGTGGGTGTGTACAATATACGTGTGTGTGCGTGTGCGTTAAGTTGACCGGCAGTGTGTATTTTTTTATATATATATATATTTATATATATAAAAAAACGTACAAAATATATATGCTTTATTTTCATAAATTAGGGATAAGCCTTGTGACGTGAAATGGAAATTGTACCCGGTCATCATCCTTAATGAATGAAAGTATCATGTATCAGACTGCCCGTGACGTATAGTTTATTTATACTACTCCAGAGGGGAGCCTATAGCGGTAACCGAGCTCAGGAGCTGTTTCGTTTGTGCAGCCATCCACCTGCTGTCAGTCAGACGGTCGTTTGGAAATGGTTATTTCCCCAGCTGTGTAGTGTAAATAAATATGATAAGAACCAGTATTCGATACTCAAGCTTTCGGTCACTTTTGCCCTTTCCCTATTTTGTCACCTGCTTTTCTCTTTCTCTTTTTATTTCTCCATTAAAGAGTCACATCGGTTCCTTTTGTCTTCCTCATTAATTACAATTCTTCAGGTACCATTAAATATAAACGTAGCCTGACTACAGGATAGCGTCTGGTTTTACTACCTCACATGAACCTGCTCGCTTCGGTGTAAGCAAACGCAGTCCCTTGGCAGATGCAGCCGCGGTTCATCAACGTTTGAACTGAGGGGTTTTTAGGTGAAATCCCACCGCACGCGGTGATCTGCCGCCCGAGGGAAGGCAGGTTAGAAGCTCGGGGTTCAACGCAGCGGCGAAGGTAA